TTTAGAAAACTGTTAAAGGATTACATACACAGGGAGGAATAAGATAACTATTTTTATATTTACACCAGTCTGAGTGACCCAAGTCTGCTTTCCAGTTGTGTAAAGGTATTTATAAGTGACTTTTAAAAAAAGCAATTTCATTGCTGTCAAGTTGATTCTGAATCATGGTGATGCTGTAAGTTAAAAAGTAACATGTCATAGGTTTTCCTGGTTGCTGTCTTAATGGAAGCAGATCACCAGGCCTCTGCTGCAGCACCACAGGGTTTCAACCACCTTTTTGGTCACCAGCCATTTGTATCATCCAGGCATTCTTAAAGATTTTGAAAAATAGCACCACACTGCAACCTTTATAATGCAATCAGAATGGTTGGAAGAGAATTAAATAGAGAACAGCTTTTACGTGATGAGATTCAAAGTTATTTAATATTCAGTCATACCACCTAAGTATTAGACTATTTACATACATTATCTTGAATTTCTATTTTATCCAGGGTTTTAAAAGCAATCCATTTTCTTCTCATCTTGTTAACCATACAGTTGAAAAAGAACATGTAAGTAATGCTTTGAAAGTGATGTTAACAGAAATTAACTTTTCTTGACATTTAAAAAGGACAAAACCTTTTAGGAACCAATACAGCTGCAAATTTGTCTGCAAGTAGAGCTCTAGGTAATCTGTGTCCTTCTTTATGAGGAAATAACCTTTGAAATAACCAAAAATTTTGCTTTTAATTTCATAAAAAAATTTATCAGACAGTACAGAAAACTACAAAATGTAATTTTTCACAAATACTAAGTAGGAAAACTAGGAAATAGTAATTTTCTTTGTAGCTATTTATGAAAGCCCCAAAGTTCTCAACACAATTCCTCAACTTATTTTGGTTATGTCAGAACGGACTCATATTTGATCCTCCAGGGGGGTCTGTAAATCACATTGGAGAAGATTTCCCATCTCTATCCTGTCGAGCAACTGGTAGATTTGAAGCACCCAATAGCTAAGGTCTTTGGGTTAGCAGACAACTTTCAATGGAATAACTCGATCTCTAAGCCATTCATCTCCATGCAATGTGCATTAGAGAGATAAATAATCACATGGTCCAATTATCATTCCAGGGGTTTTCCTAGAATCAGTAGAGAGTTTTCTTTACTTCAGAATTGGAATTGCTGAAAAATAAGAGATATACAAGCACCTTGTCAGCATGAAGGGAAAGGATGTCAAGAATAGAGCCACCAGAGATCTCACAGCTAAAAGGAAAAATCGCCTTTTAATATCATTTGAGTACCTGAAGCCTATTCTGTGTGAATGCATGACTCCTGGAACTTTCAGTGTTAGAGTCAAAGAAATTCTCCTTTTGATTCAGCCAGATTGAATTCTCTGTAACTTTTGACCAAAAGATGCCTGACTAATATAAGTCAAGACATATTTCTCTTCAATTGTGGAGAAGATGAACTACTGAGTAAATGGAAAAGTTTCAACTGGATGTGCTTCTGTCAGACATAAGAATGAACAGGCAAACATGCATACCCAGGAAGCAAAAGGTCAGAATGTAAACTCTTTGTTCTTGGGAAGAATGTGTCAAAATGTAAACAGTTCGTTCATGACTACCATTATAAGTGAACATGCTAGTATCACTAACCTATGTGGTAACTTATTTTGTACTAGCAAAATGGCTCATCTTTACATGACACAACCCTGCTCACTGAAACTGAGGAGAACTTGAAGCACTTGCTGCAGAAGGTCAAGGACTGCAGCCTTCAACATGGATTGAAGCTCAACATCAAGAAAACAAAGATTCTCACCAGTGGGCCAATTGGTAGCATCAGTATAGATGGTGAAGAGATTGAGATAGTTAACAGTTTTCATTTACTTGGCTCCACAGTCAACACTCTTGGTAACAGCAGCCAGGAAATCAGGAGATGAATTGCATTGGGAAAGTCAGCTATGAGGGACCTCTCAAGAGTACTGAAGTGCAACGACGTCAGGCTGGAAACTAAAGTGCACCATCGGAGAGTTGGACAGTGAATAGGGATGACAGAAAGAGAATTGATGCCTTTGACCTGTGGCACTGGAGAAGAGTGTTGAATATGCCATGGACTGCTAGGAGAACAAACAGGTTTGTCCTGGAGAGGGTGAAGCTGGACTGCTCCTTGGAGTCAAGGATTCTGAAGCTTCGTCTGACATGCTTTGGGCATGTTGCAAGGAAGGACTGGTCCTTGGAGAGGGACATCATGTTAGGGAGAGTGGAGGGACGCCACAGGAGAGGAAGATCCTTGATGAGATGGATTGATTCTGTGATTGGGGTGGTGGGAATGAATGTGTTGGAGATGGCGAGGTTAGCACTGGACAGAGCAGCGTTTAGGGCTCTTGTACATAGGGTTGAGATGAGTTGCAAGTGACTCAATGGTGACATTGTGTTTTATGTGTTCACGGGCTAATCAAAGGTTAGTAGTTTGAATTACGTCTATGGGAGAAAGTTGAAGCAGTTTCCTCTCTATAAAGGTTTACAGCTTAGAAATATCCAATGGAGGGCAACCTGTGAGTTTAAACTGATTGGAGGATTCACTGACTGGTTTGGCTTTTCATTTACATTTCAAAGAGCTTAAGGCATTTATATTTTAAAGGACTTCAAATGTCAGATTAATATGACTTATACCGTTCCTTTGTTTCTTATCTATAGACTACAGTTATTGTTATGTTCCACAGACTGAGAGCACACTCATAGATGAACCTCCAGCAGTTTGTCAGAAGTAGTAAATCACACTGGAGGAGATCAGTGGGTTGAAAGCACAACTCCTTACCACTAAACCATCAGAGCTTGCTATATAGGCTATAGAGTACTTTGTTACAGTACAAAATTACAGAGTAATCTTGCTTAGCCTTATCAGTATCTGATCTCCTATACAATCAGCTTGGGTGGGAAGCCTCTGTATGAGCAAACAGGATCTGGTAGGCGGGCCCCAGTATTTAAAAATCGGTCTGGTCCTGCCTGTGAGTGAGCCTTCAGGTTGGCAAAGTTGGATCCTGGTGGGTAAGTGCTTGTGATTTACTTGAAAACTGGGCTAAACTGTTTGGACATTTCTAAATTGTGTTAGCAATCAAGTATAAGCTTATTAACTCTATCTGATCAAGTTTACAAGCAGCTTGGGTGGGATGCCTCTGTGTGGGAAAGCAGGATCTGGTGGCCTGTGCCTTGGTATTTAAAAATCTAATGATTTAAAATGCTCTTGATCGTGTTTAGAAAGAATGTTGTTTTGAGTGGTGCAGTACCTGTCTGTCAGTTTGCTGTACTGTGATTACTTGTGCTTGCTGTAATACTGAAATCTTTGCCACTCGTGTGTCAAATTCCAAAAGGATTTCCCATCATGGATGGGTTTTGGTGTAGTTCCTTGATTAAGACAGACTAGGAAGCAGGATGGGCCATTTATTCCTGAATAAAAGACTTTTGAAAACCCTATGAACACTAAAAAAAGAGGATAGTTATAGTGTATAGTTATATAGTGTAGTGGTACAGCCCAGATTGGAAGTTAGTTGAAATGAGGAGGTGACTGCTGCAATAGGCTCTTGTGTGTCAGGAAGTGTGAGGATGGCGCAGGACAGGCCAAGTTCAGATCTTTTGTTCACAGGGTCACTATGAGTCATACTCAACTTTATGGCACCTAACAACACTACCACAAACCAGCTCAAGTTTTTTCCCTGTCTTAACAGAGTATACAATTTTCTTTGACAATTTTATCAGTTAAGAATTTACTTTGTTTCTAGTACACTGTTAGCAAGTTGATCTTTAGTTAATTATACAAATTTTTTACCTAAATCACCTTGCCTTTATTTTGCTATTTGTTACTTAAAAGGCAGTTTGTTATTAGTGGAAAAGAATGGATATCTTACCAAATCCGTAATTATGGGGTGAATATGAACTTTGTTACAGTGTGCTGTTTCCAGGGTACAAGCAGCTGCATTAGGATTGATGTCAGTGCACCTACAAAAAGAAAAGGAAGAAAAATATCTCCTAGAAGTTAAAAGCTATTACTGAAAAAGCTAAAGAATGTTTTGTTCCATCTAGAGCAGAATTAATAAAAAATTAGTTAACAGTGGTGAAGAAAAGAACAAACATTTGTAATAATACACCCATTCTCCACTTATTGTCATGGTTAGTTCCAAATACCTGGTGGTTAGGCAAATTATAAGTTGGAGATTAGGCAAATTATAAGTTGGCTATCAGATCACAAAATGGTGATGACATCATTACACAAGAGCAAATGACATCACTGCATAACTGCCAAACTACTGGAACCAATGCCCAGCCAAGTTGACACATAACAATCAGCATTATTCTCACCTTGAACTGTGGCATTTTCTACTGTCAGATGTACAAAACTAATGTACAAAGTAGTCATATACTGGATTTTTAATTACTGAAATAAAAGTGAAATGTCAGATAACTAAACAGGCAATAAGTAAGTATGGGCATAGTGATGAAAAACGTGGTTATACAGATATAATGCCTAAGAGGAAAAGAACACATACATATGTGTTGTTGCTATTATTTGCTGTCAAGTTGACTGCTACTCACAGTGACCCTATGAACAGTAGCTCTGCACTCTGCTCTGTTGTGAGCCAATGTCACTGTCTCCAACACACTTGCCCTGGTCATCCAAGGTCTTCCTCTCCTGTGCTGACACCATTTCCCTTCCAACCATGATGTCTTTCTCCAGAGAATGGTCCCTCTCGGCAACATGCCTAAAGTATGTGAGGAAGAGTTTCAAAATCCTTGCCTCTAAGGAGCAAACTGGCTTCACCCTCTCCAGGACAGACCTGTTTGTTCTCTTTGCAGTCCATGGTATGTTCAATACTCCTCCAACACCAACACTCAAAGGCATCAATTCTTTTTCTGTCACCCTTAGACACTGTCCAGCTCTCTGGTGTGTAGAAGACCATGGCCTGGATCAGGCACAGCTTAGTCTCTAGACTGACACTTTGTCTCTTTAGCACTCTGGAGAAGTCTTTTGATTTCCTGACTGCTGGTGCTAGTGTTGATTGTGGATCTGAGCAAGAAGAAATTGTTAGCAGTTTCAGTCTCTTCTCCATATGTCGTGATGCTGCCAATTAGGCTGGAAGTAAGTAAGAATCTTTGTTTTCTTGATGTTAAGCTTCACATTGGAGACTTGACCTTCTGCTGCAAATGCTTCAATTCATGTCTTCCTCAACTGCATAACGCCAAGTTGTTCATGAGTTTTCCTCCAATCCTGATGCCACATTCCTCCTCATAAAGTCCAGCCTCCCATATGAGCTGTTCCACATACAGACTGAAAAGATAGGGAGAAAGGAAGTATCCCTTATGCACTCCTTTCTTGATTTTGAACAGAGCTTCCAAGTCTAACTATAGGTTTCATGTGGGCACAATTAAGTGTTCTATCATTTCCATTCTTCTCAATCCTAACCACAATTACTACTCTACCTCCAATAAAATAATACTATACAGCCATTAATAATGAAATTTACAGGAGTTTTTGATTGGAAAATGTTTATGATACTATAATAAATGTAATATAGAAAGTGAAAAAAAAAGACAAAAATAACCTACTGGAATGAAACACATATTGACAACATATGTGGTAAAGATTACAGATAGTTTTTATTTTTTTATATCTCAAATTTTCTGTATTCTCAAACTTTCTATAAAGAAATTTCAGTAACTTTCAAATTTCTTTCTGGTAATAAAATTATTTAT